TATATATATATATATATATATATATATATATATATATAGAGGAGTATGTGGTTTAACTGCAAAGGAACCAGAAAAACAAAACCCCTTTGGAGAGAGAGAGAGATGAGTCAAGCTTTTCCATCATACTGTATTTGGAAATACAGTAGTTGTGAACCCAGAATACATAACGCGTCATATCCTTCTGCCAGCTTTGGTAACAGGGCAAATTTTCAATCTACCGTTTGGGGATCATATAGAGAGCGAGAGAGAACATTAATTATGAGGCCATTAGCATTAATGGATCCTTCAGCTTCACGTCCTTTGGCGGATTTTCATTCAACCACTTGGGGACACCATTTCCTCAATTTTCAATTGCAGGAAATTAGTACCCAAGAAAAACTTGAACTTGAAGAATTAAAAGAAATAGTGAGGAAAATGTTGGTGGAAACTCCTGATAATACTACACAAAAACTTGTATTGATAGATACAATTCAACGACTGGGAATCGCATATCATTTCGATAATGAGATTGAAACATCCATTCAGAACATCTTCGATGCGATTGAGAATAATGTTGACGACAACCTTAACGTCGTTGCTCTTCGTTTCCGACTTGTGAGGCAACAAGGCCATTACATGTCTTCAGGTAAATTAACTTATTTCTCTCTATCACTTCCCTCTTTTTCTTTTCAATAGTATATTCAGAACTTCCACCGACAGCTCTCTACTACTTGACAACTCATTTTTCAATACTATTTTAAACCAGATGTGTTCAAGAAATTCACTAACAGCGACGGAATATTCATGAGAACCCTTGTTAATGATGTCGAAGCATTCTTAAATCTGTACGAAGCAGCACATCTGAGAGTGCATGGGGAGGAGATTCTTGAAGAAGCTCTAATCTTTACCACCACTCATCTCGAGTCCATGTTACCCAACTTGAGCAACTCACTTAAGGCTCAAGTTACTCAAGCCTTAAGCCACCCAATTCGCAAAGCCATACCAAGGTTGGCAGCAAGGAAATACATAGACATTTATAAAGGCATGGAATCGCACAATGATTTGCTTTTGAAATTTGCCAAATTTGATTTTAACATGCTACAAAAGCTGCATCAAAGAGAGATTAGCGAGCTTACAAGGTATGTACATATATCGATCATTGTTAATCTTATCCGCTTTAGTTAATTATAATGCTATAACATGTAGTAATAACTTTCTTGTGATCTAGCTGGTGGAAAGATTTGGACCTTGTAAACAAATTCCCATACGCAAGAAACAAATTAGTGGAGGGTTACTCTTGGACATTGGCATTGTACTTTGAGCCTCGATTTAGTCGTGCGAGAATAATGTTGTTAAAAGTCTTCAAAATGCTCTCCATATGTGATGATACCTATGATGCATATGCAACCTTTGATGAACTTGTGCTTCTCACCGATGCGATACAGAGGTAAATTATGTACTTCATTTAGACAAAAATATATATATTTTTACAATGTATAAAATAACTATTGTACTTCTTATTATCGTGAAATAGTGACAATGCATTTGATACAAACATTTGACGTGTAGATGGGACATAAGTGCCATGGATTCATTACCGCCATATATGAGACCATTTTACCAAGCCATGCTTGACGTCTTCAATGAAATGGAAGAAGTATTGGCCAAAGAAGATAAATCAGATCGCATCTACTATGGAAAATTCGAGGTAATCCTCACTTAACTTATCCTCTCCTATCAGTTAAATTAAGATCTAGGGAAGTTGAAAAAGTTTGTTGACCAAGAAAAAAAAATTTCAATTCAAAAGTATATATATATATACCTTATACATATTATCTACTATTATTTTTGGTATTTCTTTTTAGGTGAAAAAGCTGGCGAGAGCCTATTTTAAAGAGGCCAAATGGTTAAATGCTGGCTACATTCCAACATGTGAGGAGTATATAGAAAATGCGATTGTAAGCAATACCTTTATGGCGCTTGGAACACTTTCCTTGATTGGTATGGAGGAACTTATAACAAAAGACATTTTTGAATGGATCACAAGTGAGCCTTCAATTGTTCGAGCGTCATCAACCATCTGTAGATTAATGGACGATATTAGTGATCATGAAGTAAGTACAATAAATTAGCATTTTCACCCCACCCCCCTGTCAGTTTTCCCAATTCGAATATATTTCCTTAAGGATAATACACCCTCCATCTCAATTTATGTGATGCAGTTATCTTTTTAGTTTGTCCAAAAACAAGAATGATATTGTTCAATATTTAAAAATATTTTAATATTAAACTTTTCATTTTACCCTTACTGATATGATTTATTGCCATACAAATATCTCTGAGTTATTTTTTACCACAAGTTTCCAAGATTTTCTTTCTTTCTTAAATTCCATGTCCAATCAAAGTTGCATCACATAAAATGAGACGAAGGGAGTGGCTAGTATGAATTCTTGTTTAGGAGGCAGTCTCGATACAAGATTGGGGTAATAATAAATAGACACGTCACTCGGCTAAGATACATTATAACTTATAGATTAGATTCAATTTGGTTAAAGGTAAGCTATGACATTTAGAATAAGATTGAACAATATTTAAAGTATGTTCTAATAAAGATATTGATATCTATCTCATGTAGGTTCAGCAACAAAGAGGACATGTAGCTTCAATTATAGAATGCTTTATGAAAGAATATGGAGCTTCAAAGGAAGAGGCCTATGTTAAGTTTCGGAAGGAAGTGAGGAATTCGTGGAAAGACATAAATAAGGCATTACTCCGCCCCACTGAAGTACCAACATTTGTTCTCGAACGAGTTTTAAATCTTGCACGTTCAATGGATACTCATTTCCAAGATGAAGAAGATGGATACACAGATTCGACTTCCAAAAGCAAAGACGTTATTACCTTGTTGCTTGTTGAACCTGTCAATATATGACGATCATAATGTATGCATATGCACCATTGACCGAGTATTCGGAGCAAATGGGGAAATGTTTTGCAATGGTTTTCATTAATTAAATAGTTTGTGTTTGTTTCCGGGGAAGAATAAAGATAAAAGGCAAGTTCAACAATATCTTTTTTGTTTCCAAAAATTACAAGTAGGCTATGTGAGGACCTACCTCATGGAACAAGATTCTTCCACCAGGATAGAACTTCCAAGGAAGAACGTTTTAGTGATTATGAAGATTACAATTCAGATTTTTGTTGGAAGTGGCGAGTGAAGATAATTGAAGCTTCTCAAGAATGTACGAGATAATAATTTCAATACAAATAAAGCAAACTATTCTTAATACTAAATATTTTAGTAAATAGACTTTCTGCAGCCGCAAGAAGTATTAACATTACAAGAGAATATGTGAATTCAGTGTCATGTTTGTTTGCTAGAGGAAATGTTGGAAAAATATGACAATATTGACAATTAACGACACAAACCACTGCTTAAAGCTATGAAATCATTAAGAGCAAAAGAAGCTCAACCTTACAAAGCATTACTACATGCCATATGAAGAAAAAATGTAGTGCATATTGAGGGTCTACATGGCTTCGTTTGACTACAAACAGGTATCCACCATACTACCTCAATCTATGGACTTAAGAATCATCGCCCTTGACGTTTTATGGATCACTCTCCTAGCCAAACCCTTAAGGATCCGCTAATAGTTTGTTGGACCTAGCATATTTCAAGAAAATAACAGCATATTTCAGAAACTGCATCCTGTCTAATGCGGATATGTCCTCTTTTCCTATTGTACACATTATTTTTTGCAATTGTAATTTTTCATCTGTGAGTCATAATATAGAGAAACTTGTGAATATTGTCTTCCCAATAATGTCACATCTTCCAAAAGGTTTCTCCGCCACTCGGCTTCTTGTCCTTCTAACTCAAAAAAAAAAAAAGTTTAGATCTCATGGTAGAGCGTGCAACACATATTTGTTTAAAAGACTTTCACGAAATAGCACTCATAAATCCAATAGTATGGAAATTATCTATGTAGACACACTCATAATTAGCAGATTCCTCAAAGTCATAGAACAACTCTTTGTTGGCGTAGAGGGGCCTTGAAGCGCATGTGTCATGTATCCAGTCATCTTGTTATCCACTATTTTTTCCTCGACGATCACAAGACAATTGCATCATCACCCTCAGCAAGGTGTGCTTCGAGAGGAGCTTCTCCCCCCTGCTTTGTGTTTTGCCCTTGTTTGATTGTACTATAAAGCTTTGTGATCAATATTCCGGCAGAGGAAACAAGGTCTTTCTGTCTTCTGGATTTGGTTCTCCAACTTATTAAAGTAATTTAGCTTTCTCACAGGCTCGTTACTAGGCTTTTTTCTTTTTTCGCGTAAACCACTCTTTCACAAAACTACCGACAGATTTCACAAGGTGAGCTTTAGAAGAATTGAGAGAGAGAGAGAGAAAGAGAGAGAGAGAGAGCAAGAGAGAGTTTATCTTATTCTTAAGGCAGTTTGCCTTTTTTTCTTTGAGACAGTTTTCCTCGTAAATCCTCATATGACTTTTCCTAGAGAGTTTGGGCTTCACTTGCTTTCCATAGTCACTCAAGGAAGATAAGAACTTCTCAAGCAGAGCATCGGCCAAAATATCTCACACATCGTCATGCCTCATTGATAGCATCAGCAGTCAAGTTCTCATATTCACGAACCTATTCCATATTGACTTATCCTTAACCATCTGGAGCTTGATCCGTTTTCTAATAAGATGCTTCTTCTTTTTTGCATTTCTAGAACCATACATCCTTTTCAAAGAAAGACAGAAAATATTATTTCATTAAAACGGAACGTCTATGCGTTCAAAGTTGAAAAAGCATCAACATGATTCAAGCCTTAGTTGATCATGCTATTTTAAAAATGACTACAATTCTATACTACTAAGACGGCCGGCGAACCAAGGATGGACTGACAGTCTAATTCTGCAGGATCTCCCTTGGTTCGGCATCCCGAATGGTCGGTGTCTTGACATCGGTTTCATTGCAACACTCCTCAATCATTGCTACAAACAACCTCTCAATTCCATCAACGATCTCTTCTTCTGGCATGGAACTCTGTCCCGCGCTTATTTTGTCTTCAACCATCTTCTAGATATTCGGGATGCGCTCATATCTATTACGCTTGGCACTTGTCCCACAAGAAGCGATTATCTCGATGGTTGTTAACGCCCAGAGAAACATGTGGGAGTGGGACTCGGAATATGAATGTTAGGCTTAGGCTATAAATACCCCCACTTTCCTCACTTGTAATTTATTTCGTTTCTACTCTATTGGCTCTTTACTATAAACTATTGTGGCTCATAAATAATGTCAATAAGATTATTCTTTATTTTTCTTGTCAACTTTACTCGCCTTTTGTTGTTGTCTTTTATTTCTTATTTAGTCTAATCGCCTAATTCATTCAACTGAACTCTGATTTGAACATATTTTTAGTGGCCTTATTAAATACAAATTTAATTATTTTAGGCAAAATACATAAAATACCACCCAACCTTGTAATTAAATTCCTCTTACACACCTGTTGACTACATGAATAACTTTACACACCCAAATTTTTCAAAAATATATCTAAGACACACCATTTTGCTTAGCTAGAACGTGCGTGTTTAAAAAAAATATAAGAGCGCGAGGAGGGTAAAAGTTTGTCCAAAATCTTATTTAAGTGCCATTTGCCAGAATTTAAATCAAAATGGAAATTCTTTTTGATGTTTTGTACTTCAATCCCACACAAGAGAGGGGGTGATTGTGTGGTATCCAATTTTTACGTGCACAGATTATAGAAGAACATGGTTCTTCTATGTGTTCCTTATATTACTGTTGTGGAATAATAAACGTAGAAAGTAAAGAACACAAGTATTTTTACGTGGAAAAGACTCGGCTCAAAAGGTGAAAAAACCACGACCTATTACTCAGTAGGATTTTTCCCAACACTTCACTAAATCACTAAGCCAAAACAACATTTACAAAACTCTTTGTAAACCTAAGGATTACCTCTAATCCCTTTGTGGCAACCAGTCTCTAGCTGTTGCGACAACTTCAAGTTAGCTCTAACTTGAATACAACACTCAGAGTACCTAGTACAATTGCTTCTAGATAAGACTGAAAGGTACAACTTAAAATCACTACTACAATGAAACTAGAATAAAAGATAGACACTTGGAACTGGTTCTTCTATCTAGTTCATGTAGCTTCAGGTTCGCACACATAAATCACACAAGAATTGCTTGCAAAATGCCTTGCTATTTTGCTCTCAACTCTCCTTTAACTCAGCGATTGTCCATACATGTAAAATGAGAACATCCTACAGTTTATAGAGTTAGTAGAATAGGAAATAACTAGAGTTCTAATGATATACTCTTCCATGGTGGAAGAGTTCTAGTTATCTTCAACTTCTAACTTCTCCCTTATCTAGGACAGAGTTCTCTTCGAGTAAGGAGTCCTTCTCCTTGTCACTTATACATCCTTTTCGTTTAGGAGATATTAGATGTAACCACTTAAGCTTATCTCCGTCACGTGCATGCTTTGTGCTTGAAACTGCCCATGTCTGTGTACATTGTGTATGGCCCTGCTTCATGCTTGAGTCCTTTGTTAATCATCAAAACAAACATCACTTAGGCAAACAAATTCCTCCTTTTTGATGATGACAAACTCTGTGCTTTTCATAAGCATAAGCCATGCTTCAACTCAGCTCAACATCAATACAATATTAGAACACTTTCCATTTTAAAGTCACAAATCATCAAGGACTAGGTTCATTAGGTTATAAACATCACAATCCAAGTATTAAAAGCGCAACCTATCTTCCCCCTTTTGGCATCATCAAAAAGTTGCATAATTATATTAGATAACCAGATTTTAATAGATATTACTCATGGTCACTGGGGCTACTTCAAATGCAATCATGGAGTCAAGTATCATATATCAATCTCATGATATTAGCTATCTAAGAAGCATCAACAAAAAGCTAGAGCATAAAATAGTTGATTAACATTGATACTAGTCATCCACAAAGCATAAAGAAAAATAAAGATACTGGATCATGACCAAAAAGAACAAAAAGAGATCCCATCCGGGTCACTGGTTTGTCTACCTGGGCTGGGAATGTTTCAAGGCTGGGAAGGACCATGTTCTTGGTTTCTGGCCAGAAGTAGCCTCAGCATATAATGAAGAATGCTATCATTCTTCTCCTTCTCCTTGGCAAGCTCAGCTTTGAGAGCATCCCTCTCAGTTTCTACTTCAGCCAGCCTCTTCTTCAGCCTCTCAATCTCAGCATGCTTAGCCCCACTCTGCTGCACCAAAGCTCACACTTTGCTCAGAGGTACCTTCTTGGATTAACCAGGTTCTTTAGGAGTAGTGTGGACTTCATAGTCACATGCAGTCAAAGTGTTTGCCCCAAAGTGATCTTTTCTAGTACCAACTTCCTATTTCTTGAGGGGTACCTTGATGTGATCAAGTACAGCCGTGAGAATGAAATCATAGGGTATGACATGAGTTTTTGTGCCAGTTTGAACCCTATCAAGAGCTAGATTATAAACCCAGGCCAGTTGATTTGCCTCCCACTGTCGAGACATTCCATGACGACAAGGTCCATGAATGTCGCAATATGCCTTCTTTCCTGCCTGGGCAGCACAACCTTGTTAACAAATTTAAATAGCACTTTGTGGGGTGGCTTCATCTCACTTTTGTATATAGCCTTGGGCTGAAGCTCTTCTTCATTGTCACCAAACTTCTTTGTAATGGCAAGTGAGGTGGGGAGGTTTTCTAGGCTTAGCCATTTTAACTTTTTGTAGTCATTGTACCCTTCAGCAGGTACTCCCAGAATTTCTCCCAACTCCCTGTCATCAAAGCTCACAATCTCTGCCATTTTTGATCTCACAATTTGCCATGAACTCTGAAATCTCAGTTCTCGCAAGCTTTCCATCAATCTGAAGGACCATGTCCTTCCAACCCTGCAGTTGTAGTTTTTCCAACAGCATCATTATGCCTTCCTCCTCCAAGTCCCTGAGGAGTCTCCCTTTCAAGATGGTTCTTTTCCCAAAATTAACCATCTTGTCCTTCTCTGCATCAGA